ATAAATAATCTAAGATTTTCTCAGGCTCATACATTTTTTCATTCTTCTAAATTTCCCTTCAAATAATTTTTATAATAAACACAAAATAGCTATAAATTTTAGGTATAATTATTACTTATTTTTTACTAGATTTTGCATTATTTTTAGCCAAAAGATTAGCATTTAGCCATTGTTTTTAATTTTTAATAATATAGTTAATTAATTTAAAGCTATTTTTGTAACTAGAATTTAACGTTGGTTTAACTACCACCTCCAAATTTATTTTTATACGTAAAAAACTTTGGTGGGTATCTATTAGAACCCGACGAAGCCTAATGTATCTTTTATTAACTATGTGCTATATTTAATAATATCTTTTGGGTTTTGGGCTCATTTGTGTTTTGGTTGTCACAATTATCCAAATACAATTCTCGGTTAATTAAATACGTATGAGTAAAAAAGGAGTAAAAGATTAAAATTGCTTAATTAGGCTTAATCAGATTAAGACACGTAGGAAGATAATATGTCAGTGGCACATAAAATAGGATCTAGTCGATCAATCCGAGGAGCTCTAGCGATGCGTATGGAAATCTACAGAGTGACAAAAGTGTAAATGAGCACTTTCTTTTAAGAATAAATTTATTAAAATTAGAGATAATGGAATCAAATCAAGCTTATATGATAGATAATTAAATAAAGATAATTAAATAATTTAATCAAAAATGCCCACTAAGGTTGTCGGATCCTGATATCCGGATCAGAAGAAAGGCCGGATATCTGGATATCTTCGGATATCCGAAGATTTCCAACTATCCGACAACCTTAGCCACCATCCTTTGTTCGAATATAATGTTGAGAGCGTGCACAAAAATTTTTGGGCATAAGTTCGCAATTAAAAAAATTTTGAATAAAATTTTCCTCTGAATATCTGGGAAATCTTTCGATCATCCACAACATTCGGAAATTTATTAAAAATCTCAAGCCTATAATTAAAGTTCTGCCTTACTTTTATTTTCTTCAATTTTCATAGAATATACTTTAGACCTTATTAATAAACTACAAATTAATAAAATAAAAATTTTTATTAATATTTTACTTCATATAATAATAAATTGCTTAATATAATATATAATAAAAATTGCCAGTATATATTATTCAAAAGCTTCCTCAAAAATTGCAAACGAAATAATTGGTACCGAACAAATAACCATCTGCGCAAACATTACAAACAGGATAGAAAACGCTCAGCATCAGCTGCCACCGCAACGTCGTCAAAATTTTTTTGAGGGCGACGGTGGCGGTAATAATAATGGAAATGGTCTGATAGCTGCAGGTGGAAAAAATTTTTTTTAATTTTTTATTTATTAAATTGAATTAATTAAACCAAATAAATTTTAAATTATAGCTTTTAACGTTAAAAATTTTTAAAATTAATTGAAACAATTATTTTTGGAAATTAGGCACCAATAAAGACACAAATAAAAAATATTTTTTTATTTTTTTCCCAGTAGAGTCAAATTAGTCTTTTGAACCCGTATAATCCCATTTTTAGATAATTTTGGTTAAATTTGTGTGAATTTGTTAATTTTCTCAGTAACTTCTAACGATACCTGTTCATATTCATAGTTGCTGATTTTTGACGTTTCTGTTGCATTTCCTTTAATATCCTGGGATATTTTTTAATATCCTTATTTTACCGTATCTGAGGATATCAGAGGGTGTCCTCATACTATCCTCAACAGTAGGATTGTCGGTTCTGGACCTAACCAAACTGAAAAAACGATGATTTTCTGTTCGGATATCCGAAGATTTTTTAAGAACCTACACCCTATTCGACAGATTTGGTATAATCTCATTTTAGATCCACCAATATTACCACCAATATAAGACATTGTCCTTTTTTATTGCCAATGGTTTTGGCATTAATTTTTTCACTGTATCATTAGAATTATTTTTTAAGTAACTCATTTTGGCCTTTAAAATTCTACCCTTTAAACTTTATTAAAATTAACATGTTTGCGTGCCAATTTAAAGCCAATGAAATTAGTTAATAAATTTCTACTAAATAAACATTTGTTTTTAAAGAAAATTTCGCTGCCTAGGAAACAAGCCACTTAAATTCATTAAAATTTTAGAAAGTGACGATTAAGCCAATTATTTTTATAAATTCATGAGAATTTTATTAATCTTGCGACTCTTAATTTTAATTGATTTTTAGCTGTTTATGTTTTTATTTAGATTTTTTATTTTGAGATTGAGCTTAATATTCAGATATTTTTATTCTTCTATTTATTACTATCTTATCTCGGAGGCTAATATTTTTAAAAATTTTTTGGCCTTAACAAATAGAAATAATCTGAACTAGTTGTCCTAATTAATAGTCCTTTTTCTAGTAATTAACTAAATTAGTGTAATCCTAAAATTTTGAGATTTTTTAGTAAATTTATATTAAAATTTTTAAATCTATAAGAATTAGTTCATTTATAAGAATTTCAGCCCGAAAATTAAATAAAATTGTGATCCTATAAAATTTTCCAAATAATAAAACCGATATTTAGTTAAAATCAAAACCAAGAACCGAAAATTAAAAAATTTTAAAAACCGAAACTCGAGTAACCTGTAAGTAAGCCATTACTTGCAAACTACCATTACTTTCAAACGAATGTTGAAACAATATGTAATTCACCTGTTTAATTAATCGTGTATGCCAGAATTGGTATTTCAATAGATGTTTAGATTTTATAATTTTTGGATTTTTTAGTAAATTTATACCTATATTTATAAAAATTTTAGCACGAAAATTAAAAATTGCCACTTCATAAAAATTTCCCAAATAATAAAATTATTTAGATAAGAATCGAAATCTAAAGTTTTTAATCCGAAACCCAAGTAACCTGTAGATAAAATTTTGTTGAAAACCCTACTCTCAAACGAATGTTGAAACAATAATTCACCTGTTTAATTAATCAAATATACCAGAATTGGCTCAGACTGCATTTCTTAATAGGCTGAGTTCATAAAGACCATAGGCTTTTTGACAAACTTACTGACTCTAGCCTATAATTTTTAAAAAATTTATCATTTCCTCATTGTCTAATTGTAAATTGTTTCAATATACTTGTCATAATTTGTTCTAAATTGTAGGCCTGAATTTGTTAATACGCAGTTAATGACTAAGTATTCCAAGTAAATTGGTCTGTACTTGCACATTATAACGCGTTTTTTCCTTTCTTAATTTTTTCCAATTGTTTATTATCAAGTCAGTGGCCTCTGTTAACGTTGAAATATCTTAATTAAATTATCAGTTTATATAACTGATATACAAAAATATAAGAGCTTCTTCGTCCCGAATCTTATTAATGACAAGAATTTACATTTTTAAATATATTTTATTAATTAATAATATAAGGAGTAAATAAGTTGAATATTTTTAAGCGTAATATTGTCTTAAGCTTAAATTTTGTGTTCTATGTATGTACTCCTTCCTAACCCTCCTCCTTAGCTCCTACTTAATATAGGCTACTTAGTATAGGCTCCTTAGGCTCTTTAGCCTTCCTTCTTAGCCTTCCTTTTATAATTTGACTTTGCCCGCTTTGAAAGTAATCTCTATCATATGTATTTAGGCACTTTGCTCTTATCAAACTTAAGTTTTTTAATTGTGTACAGAATTTTTCTAGCTTCTGTAATCAAGATAATATCTTACAATATTACAATTCATTTATCAGTTTATAACACTGATATTCAAAAATTTACCATGGGTAACAAGACCAGCACAAATTTATACTCTAATTCATATTCTTATAAATAATTATTAATTAATATAATTGCTATGGAGCATACATCACAAATTTTTTTAATTAACAAAGTTTGTTTTAATTATAAACTTAATCCTTTAAGTGTAAATTAAGATCCCAACTCTATTTAAAAACTTCTTAATCAAGCTATTTATACAATTCTCCAGTTTATTTATCAGTTTATAACACTGATATACAAAAATAAATAGAACACATCTCCATAACCACACTAAAAATTCATATTCTTATAAATAATTATTAATTAATATAATTGCTATGGAGCAAAAACTCATATATTTCTAGGCAAAATATTTTTGTTCATATTTTTTTCAAAACATACATCACAAACAAATTATTTTACTCAAAAAATGTCAGTCTTAATTATAAATTTAATCCTTTACGTGTACCTTAGGATATATTTTTAAAGTTCATTAAACTGTAAAATAAGGTGTTTTTTGAGTTAAAAACCAGCCAAAACAAATAATTATAAACTACAAGTCGTTTAAAAATTCCTTTTGAATACCACGCGATTTTAAAACAAAAATAATTTTTTTCAATATAGTTTTGTATTTTAACTCGTTTAAAAATTATGTTAAAGTATAACAAAAAATTTTTAAAAAAAAAGTAAAGTACACCTGACTTAAAAAGCAAAAAACTTTTAAAATACGCATGAGGTTGTTGTGAAGGAAATTAAATTTTTTTATTTGTCTAATTATTTTTAATTAATCTTTGGATATTGAAAAATATTTTTTGTGGTTAAACTAAGCTTTCGAGTGTACCTGGGGGAAAATAAAATATTTTTTCAAGCGAAACGAGTCAAAAAAAATTAAAAATCGTCTCGTGAACTAGAAGACAGTAGAGATCGAGATTTTTGAAAAGCCTGGGCCTGGACTCTGGGTACAGGAAAAACCCAGGCCTTGGTCCAGGCCGAGCTCGATCTCTAGAAGACAGTAAGGGGGCAGGCTTCAATCCTGCGACCTACTGACAGTTATTGCTAGACGCTTTCGCCCACCACGTACAGGTGCTCTACCAACTGAGCTACCGGGACGCTGCTTTCACCTCCTCTTTTAATAGATCTTAAACCCCTGACTAGGAAGCGTTTTAAATGCTAGCCAGCTGGATCATTCTCTTCCTTACACGACGAAACATATCATTTAAATCTACTTTCGGTCTCTGATATGTCCCTAATGTATCATAAAATATTATTTATAGAGCAAAGTCATTGATATGGAAATAAAAAAGCAGGCAGAAATGAATGACAAAATTGTAAAGATATTGCTGCTTGGAGCTTCTGATTCAGGAAAAAGCACAATAGCTAAACAAATGAGGTAAAGAAAACAATAAAAATCAATGATTAAATATCTAATTTAAGGATATTGCACACTGATGGATTCACTCATGAAGAGCGACAACATTACAAGTAAATAGATAAATAAACATAATTTGAAAATAGCATATGATTCGTGTTTTGAAATCACAGAAGTTAGGAAGGAATAAGGAAAACCTAGGAAAATGAGAAAACTCAACTTGAAAATACCTAAAATTTTAACACTAAAATGACCAAAATAATTCGCAAGTAAAATTAATACCAATTGTTTGTTCAATTACCGATTTTCAAATTCCGAAATTTAAATTCATGAATCGTGACTTCACGAAAATTTTTAATTTACGATTTTCGTGAATCGTGAATCTGATCGGCTCGATCTTTGATTTGTTGTTTAATTATCAGTGATAAACACCGACATACAAAAATATAAGTTATTAGATCAGATTTTAAATTTAATGAAGAACACATTAAATCTTTTTATAAATCCTTTATCAATTTATTTAATATTAAGTAAAAAACTAATTTCATTTATTTAAAATTAATTTATTTAATTAAGATATATGGTTCAAAGTAACTACATTGACTCCTTCGTCCACATAGCCAAAGGCATATATAAACTACAAATAGATATCCCTCCATCGGAACGTGAACTGATTTCGACTTTCGAACAGTCTTATTATGGCCAATATTTTAACATGACCGAATCAAACGATTTAATTGGAATTGTTTGTTTTTAAATTTTAATACATTTATTCCGGATTTAGATTGTTCAATTCCTTAACTGTAAATGTGTTAAAGCTGCATGCTCACGGCTAATGGAATTTTATGTGCCAGACAATACTACTTAGTAAGTGTTATTTTATTTATGGTTAATTTTCTGTTTCTGTTCGTTTTCTGAATTTATTCTGATTTTATTCTTGTTTTCTGATAATTCTGATTTTTAATTATTAATTTGTTTTGAATTCTATTTGTTCTTGATTTATTCTGTTTTATTTTTGTTTTGTTAATATTCTGTTTTTGTTTAATTAACACGTTTTTACTTAATTCTGGTTTTTTGTTAATATTCTGATATTGTTTCTTACTATTCTGATAGCATCTAAACAAATTTTTATTTAGTTCTGGTTTTGTTTTGTTAATATTCTGATTTAGTCTTTAATTACAAGTTTTTATTTGATTCTGGTTTTTTTTTATTTCTTATTTTCTTTGATATTCTGTTTATATTCTGATTTATTCGCAGTTAGTCCTGACATCATTCAAGAGAGTTTTATCTTGTTCTTCATTGTCTTTGTGAATGATTTAGTTCTTTTATATCTTGTGCTCCTTATATATTTTATCGTTTAATTTAAGCCTTCTGAGCCAAGTCTCCAGAATAATACATCCAGAATACAGTCCTTCACTTGACGATATAATAAGAGCTAGGGCTTCAACTAAAGGGATTTATGAAATTATTTTTTCTTTCAGGCAATTTACCATAAGGTAATGGAAAAAATATTATAAGGAGTAAAAATTTAAATTTAAGGTTAATTGATGTAGGCGGTCAGAAGACAGAACGTCGAAAGTGGATTCATTGTTTTGGTTGGAATTTTTAAATTTTACTAAATATATAAAATTTAATTTTTAATTAAAGAGGGTGTCACCGCTATTCTGTTCATTGTTTCACTTGCTTGTTACAATAATGTATTGGAGGAAGATGCAAATATTGTGGGTTAAATTTTAATTTAAAATCTCATTATTGTCAAGAAGTCGGAAAAATTTTCCTTAATATTAAGAAGCGTATATGTTCGCAAATGTTGATTAATAAACATTTATTTCGAATAAGAAAGAAAGACAAAACATAAATCATTTATTGTATGAGCCGTTATTATCCATTGTTTATGGCACTTTCTGTTAAAAGTAGAGTTGATCAAAACGATACTGGTATCGCACCTTTCGGTGTCAACGTTTTGCGTGTCACAGAAAATTATCTCTGCGGTAGTTGATGATGAACTTGAAAAATAAATTCAAAAAATTAACGAACCCTCATAATGAGAAAACCAGGCCCTCCTTCCGAATACAACTGTTAGGGGAGACGATGTAAATTAGTCATTTTTAAACAAAGTGAATACTTTGTTTAAATCGTAATTTACAACACGAGCAGGAAGCGGGAAATTCCCTGCATTCCTTCCCCTCCCATAATGGGAGAGATCTCAGAGAGAGTCTACATCTCTCCCCCTCCTAACAGGAGACGGCAGCCGGTGGTTCACAGAGTCAACAAATTTTAGGGAAATTATATAATAGTCAATTAGTTAATTAAAAATATTAGATAAGTTGTAAACAAAATACATAAACTTCCCTTTAATTTCTAAATTTCTCTATCTCTACAACATACAGTCAAAAAGCAGAGAGGCTGTGCTTTTTTAGAGATTCTATGTTCTAGTTGTTTAACTAGTGATAGTCAGACCGACTTCCGATTTCTCACGTTTTTTTCTTCCGATTTCCGATTTCCGACACCTCTGACTGTTCCGACCCACCTCTTCCTGGTACGTAGACTAAGCTTGGTACATACAAAAAGTGCTTAAATTAATTCAGAGTTGACCGGGGCCTTAATATCTGTATTACTTCAGCTTCTCTATTACTAATAAAATTATTTTCAGAATCAAATGACTGACACAAAGGATTTATTCAAGCAAATTTACAGAAATAAATTTTTGAGGCCATCATCTTTAATCATGTTTTTGAATAAAATGGATATTTTTGCCGAAAAATTGAAATATGCTCCTCTCGAAAATTTTTATCCGGAATTTAAAAGTTAATTCTATTAAGCTACTCTATAAAAATTTTTTAAATATTCAGAAGAATTAACTGAAGAAATGACAGATGAAGAATTGTTTGACGTTGCAATTGATTTTGTTAAATCTCTTTTTTCAAAGGTTAAACCAAGCAAAATTATTCATAAAAATTAATAAAAAAAATTTTAAGATCAAGGGAAATGACCGCAGGCCGCTTTATATGCATACAACTAACGCAACTGACACTAGGAATGTCGGTGAGTGATCAGACTAATTTTATAAAACCTCAGCCTATAAAACACATAATTGTTTGTCTAATGTTCCGAACTTTTTCTTATTTTTATTTCTATTTTCAATACATTATTTTTGTTTTCCTACTTTCGAAATTTTTTTGAAAACTAAAATTAGGTCTTTAATAATAGTAAGATACAAGTAAATTATTGCATAAATTTTTCCTTAAATTTTGATTACGATTTTAGCCCTATACAAACTAGATATTTAAAGGATCTTGGTTTTACTACTTACAAAATTTAGCTTAATCTCAGGCTAATTCTGGCAACTTTATAATTTAAATCTTGTTTGTGGTTAGTCTGTTTTATTACTATCTATTTCCGATATTTACTATTTTCTGTCTTCAGTCGTGTAAACCTTAAATATCCTGTTATATGTCTAACAAAAATTGATTATATAATTTTCTAAAATTTCTATCACAAAATTTCTATTAATTTCAAGACTTTGTGTTCAACGCAACTTGTGACATTATTCTAACAAAAAATATGAAGTCGAACGGAATGGCTTAAAAATGTGATTTGGAAAATTATTTTGACATCATTTAGCACATTTTTTGATTTATTAGGGATCTGAATACTTTTATACACTCAAAACAATTTTATAAATTCAACCTCCCTCAGCTTATACCCACAATAATCGTTAATATTATACAATTTTAATCAATTTTTGTTAGCTATATTAAATATTTTTTAGTTTTGTTTGCTTTTTGCTATACATATTCGGTTATCTGCTATGCTTATTCAATAGAAATTGGAATAAGTTATCCTCTTCTCTCTATTATAATGAGAGAAATAAGCATTCAATCTCTCAAGGGTGTGCGGACATATCGGAATTGGGCCGTAGGTCCCGAAATCAGTAGGGTAACTGAACGTACATTGAAATATCCCGATATGTCCACGTGCCCTCTCAAGTTAGGCGTGAATCTCCTCGAGCAAGCTTTAGTCAACAGAGGAACCGAAATCTTACTGGCATTGATCAAATTACCCATCTCATATCACCCTTCTAAGATACTAACCAGAATTATCAACCATTAAATTCTAAATTTTCATTAATTTAAAAATATTCGCAGAGGTTGTCTTCAATGCTGCCTATGATACTGCTGTAACTAAAAACTTGAAGAATTCTGGGGTTTTATGAAGCATTTATATTTGATTAAACCTTACAAACAATCTTATAAAAATCATATTCACTGTCTACAGAGGTGAATCGGACTTCATATTTCCGACTTCCGACGTTTTTTCCTTCCAATTTCCGACAGTTCAGATTTCCGGACTTTTCGTCATTTCCGATTTACCTCTGCTAGTTAATCTTAAAGCATCTCTAATTTTAAGCATATCAATTTAATATTCATTAGTCTATCAGTTTAGAAAAATCTCAAATTTTATGATTTTAAATGTTTGATTTCATCAATTTTTAATAATTATTTTAGACAAATTGTAGCATTTTAAATTTTTCTTTTAACTTTTAAATATTTTATAATATTAAATATTCAATTAATTTTTATCACAAATTCCATTTACACTTCATATCTTTAAGATTAGCATATAAATCACCAAAAAGCTCGATTGAGTAAATATGATCATATACAGCAAATGTATAGGGAAAGCCATCCGCACAATATGTTTGTTTATCAAACTTAGAAATCAAAAAAATTTCAAGTTTTTCTAGTCAAAATTTTGAAATTAAACTTACAGCACCCCCACCCCAAAAGTGCCAAGGTTCATCTACACGACTAACATTAGCCTCTTGCGCAACAATACCAGTATAAAGCACATCCTCCATATTAACGGCATTAACTCTTGGGCAAGCTTCCAAAATTCTTTTTATTGCGACCGCAGAACACATATAAGTACATCCGTTTACATAATTCGGGTATTTTTTGTGTGGATATACTTCTTCGGGAACATACCTGAATTTTATTTTTTTGATTTTCTTATTGTGATAAAGCTTAATGTAAACTGTCACTTTTTTAAGAGGCTTTGAATTATTAGCACATCCATAAAAATTAAGTAAGAGCGAGGTAAAAGTTTAATCCCGGGCAGACTTCGATCCTGCGACAGTTATTGCGAGCTTCGCTATCTCTTAGTTAGTATACACATTGGGATATTAGTGGGGGGTGGAGTAAAAACATGAAGGAATTTCCACTAGATTCTCTATATGATTTTGTTTATTAAATTCTCAAGGGGAAACTTATGTATAGTAAGAACAGGTAAAAGTTTAATCCCGGGTAGACTTCTGCGACCTCTTGGCAGTTATTGCTAGGCGCTTTCGCTAACCACGTACAGGTGCTCTACCGACTGAGCTACCGGGACGCTGCTTTCACCGTCTCTTTTATTAGATCTTAAACTCTCGCCTAGTGAGCGTTTTAAATCCTAGCCAGCTTGATCATTCTCTTCCTTAAAATTATTAATTATATACCATTTGTGAGATTTTTCACGTATAGGCGCAGTGTTGATCAAAGCATTTCCAAAGCACGAAGCAGGGTTCTTTTCATCCAATTCAAGATCAAATTTAATCTTAATCCAAAAGAAAAGACGTTCTAAGTGGACGACGGTATCATCGTCAGTTTTCATCACATATCTTGCCTGAGGGCAGAATGTTTGTTGCCATTGAAAGGCTGCATGAACCTGTAAAATTCAAAGCATTGTTTAGGTTTTTATTGAGATTAGAAGGCATAGAATCCTATCACAATTTTACATGGATGCATTAATAATCATTCAAATTAGTTGGTCATATGTTTGGGAGTTTTTAAGGATACCCGTTAGCCAGCTGGATCTTTCTCTTCCTTATGATTATTATAATAGTTATACGTCATAATGTAAAATCGTGTGAGGCACAAGGGCTTAGAAACGTGAGGTAACTTCAAAATTTTACCATATAATGTAGGTTTGCATAAGTATCAGGTATTCCCTTCAAAAACACAGTATCGTCATAATGTTTGTGCTCTTCATGAACGAACTTGCTCAATTTGAATGGAGCCACCTTATCAGGATCAATTTGAAAGTCTCCACGATGATTCTAAGATAAAATGCTTTAAAGTTTAGCTATTATTAGCATACCTTATTAATATTCTGATCAGCTAAGAAAAAACGTAGAACGGTTCCATTAGGCTAAAAATTATTGTTAAAAATATTTGAGTTTATTCTTATTAAATTTAGCCATACGTTTACGTTTGGCTTACAAAAATACGAAATTAATAATATATTTTATCACCAAATTTAGCGAAATTGTTTTTTGCTAATAATAGAGGATAATTGGAATAAAACATGCAGTATAACCTGTATTAATTGCCCTCCCTCAAATAATTACCCCACTTCTATTAATTAATCCATTCAGCGATAGATTAAAACAATAATTACCAACCAACCAACAAATGCCTAAAACACGTTCAAATTTCAAACCTCGTTTAATTACCATCCCTCTATATTATTTACACCCTCCAGTAGAAAGGCGAAACAATAATTACCCAGGGTAGTTATTAAAGGATATAAGGTAGTTACTTTAACTCTATGAATAGTGAAAGATGAAGATGCAAACCGAGGGGACGGGGACTACTATTACACTCCACAATATAATTTATAAAAATATGCTTAAATTTACCCTATCTTTAAGCCATGTTAGTCTAATAGCTTCTCTGTTAATATAAGATTCTCGTCTTGAGAGCACCAAAATGAACACCTTTGTATCATTATTGCAAGGAGGATTGAGTGGTTCTTGTAAGGAGTAAGTGTGTTCCATATTTTTGAATTTTGAGGTAAAATTCCTTAAAGGCCTTGAATCCTCCTCCCAAGCTTGGTTTATCCTTTTTAAGTGTAGCAGCTGTCGAAATGCCAAATAAAAGGTTGAAAATATTAGAAAGATGAGACAAACACGAAACAGAACACGGAAACATGAACTTAAATTTATTTTTAATTATGGGAATTTTAATTAGGAGTGAACACGACTGGTTTTATAACAGAATATTTGGAACTTTTTGCCAACAAATTACCAAATTTACGAAATTTCAAAAACCGAACCGGAAATTAATGAAAATGACTGATTTAGTAAAAATTCCTCCATAAATTGACTAAAACGGCAGTGGAGACATAACTGGACGGACATATCGGAAATAGTTGTACAAATATAATTTTTTGTGAGTTAACGTTTGTTCTAAAACATAAAAACTCTATTCTTCAATGGGTATCGAGTAAACGATCGGATGTAGGTTCCAAAATCAGTAGCTGTTCTTACATTGAAATATCCCGTTATGTCCGTCCCGATATGTCCGCGTGCCACTAGAACTACAAAACGAAAACTGAGCTTCTAAAATTTAGATTAACCGAAAACCGGTTTTAACAGGTAATAACCGGTTGTGTCCAACCCTAATTTTAATCAAATACATAGTTGGCTTACCTAAAAAAATTGATGCGCACTTTAATTGGTTGGGTGAACATTTAATTTGGAATTTTAAACAACGACTAGGATGTCTGGAACTTCAATTAAATTTTAAAAATTAAAATAAATCAATGTAAAACTCCCAACTTTATTCTTTGTTGGATTTATTAAATAATCAAATATTAATTTTAAATTTAATGAGAGTCTCTCCGTTAAGCCGAAAAGAACGTGGCAATTCCTCTCTAAGCATATTAACAGAAAAATTTTTATAAAATTATACCCAAAGTTTCAAAAATTTTTATTTTATTATCAAATGTTTAAGCAAATGAAAAATTGCTAATATGGCCATAATTTTCCAATAAAAAATCAATTATGGCAATTCTGATAATTAAAGAAAATTCATCGTGGAATATTTGATGTGGGTATTCAATTTCGATTCTTGATATAGGTATCTGTTGTGTAGCGGTATCGCTATAGTATAAAGCCAGTGAAAGCGTCATTCTAGGCGACCATGCTAGCGGGGCTGGTCACTGATCTCCTTCGTCTCCTCTAGCTCTTTCAACCTCAACTGCATTGTACATTTCAACACCGGATAGACTGTTATTCTTGTGCACGTCAACATTACTTAAATCTCGGACACCTCCGGTTGTAACAATAATGTAGAAACCAAGCCCATTAAAGTTATAAAGTTATCAGCACTAATATTGAAGGTATCATTACATAGTGACGGTACTAATGGGGAAATGACAGGGAGGATTTAAAAAAAATTTTTTGGCTAATTATTCTTAAAAGTGTGAAAATATCCAAAACATTTGAATAAAAACCAAAAACATTTAAACAAGTCAAAAAATTATCACAGAAGAATACGATAAAATAAAATATAAAATAAATATGTAAAATATCGTCATTAAATCAACCATTAACTTGTTCATTAATGGAAGCCACCATTAATTTCATCTCAAGCAGACCTATCTCTTTAATATATTTGCTGTTATATTTGATGATATTTTCATTAAATTTTTCAAATTCCTTGTTAAATGCTTTAATTAAATTTTCAATTTCATTCTCCAAATTTTTTTTAATTGTCTGGTACATGATTCTATTTTTTTCCGAATTAATTTTATTATTACAAGCTTCAAGGCGTTTATTTAATTTAGTGAAGTATGTATTTGCGTGTTCCTAAAAATATTAAATATAATAATATTTTTGAGAAAATTTTAGGTACTTTATTAATATCCCCCTCCCCCCCTATTTGATTTAAGTCTCAGTTTATTCTCTTTTTTTAATGTTAATATCCTTTCCCTCACAAATTTTAAGTAAATAACAAGTTAGAAGGAGAAAAATTTGAAAGGACCCTTTTAACTCGTTATTTACTTAAAATTCGGGGAAAAATTATTGACAGTAAAAAAGGAAAATAAATCTGAGACTCAAATAGGGGGAGGTTAATATTAGAATATCATTTTATAACTAACAATCTTATTTCATAAATCATAAAATTTTATTTTGCCACTTAAATTTCGTGAAGCAACCATGACCTAATCATCTGATTTTTTGATAAAAATTAATATTAGAGGTTTGAAAAGTTAAAATCAGCGAACATCATAGTTTAAAAAGATTGTTCGAGAAAATTTTAAAGGATTGAAACCGAGAAGAACTGTTAATTTGGAATTAGCTAGAATAAAAGCGAAGCTTTTAGTATCCATAGTCGATTACCAGTTAGTAGTAGTCTTAGTCCGTAGTCAAAGCTAGTATCCTACTCCAGCTCAGTCTCGCAAATTCTATTGTATTGTTACCTTCGTGATTAATCTTGTTAGTTAGTCTAGTCTTTCTGTTAGTATCGGACACTCTGCAAGTCGATGCACAACACAAGAACCGTGATAGATAATTAACAGATTTTCGAGATTTCCGAAAAACATAAGAGATCTTGATGGACAGTAATCTATTAAAAGCCTAATTCTTATCTGATGATAAATAATGATTTTAAGAATTGCTGTGTCCGCACTTGCAGAAAAGAATATGAATGAATAAATATAACACAGCATCGGTTTGGATGTTGGCACAGTCGGCCGTGTTTTGGTTTGGGCCCTTTCCATGATGGTCCATCCATCTCCCAACAAATGAATTTTTCTACGCATGATTATTATGAAAGTAATGATTAAACATATAATATTTTAGAATGTTTTAGAGATTTATTAGTAAAATATATTTTTAAAGAAGAAAAAGGAACGTCAACCCCATGCGTCAGTCTCGGTTGGAATAATTATACTAAGACCGTTAATGATCGGTATTAAAAGTGACAAGCTCATAATAGTAGTAGAAATCATGGAGAAACCGAGAAAACGTGAACAATATTTGGGACAAATAAATATATATAGAAGCAGTACCAGGGACAGGCCCAAGTAGGCGCGCGGCCATGTAGGCTCAAAGCCATAGCTTGCAGGAAAATTTCCGGAACTTAATAATTTTGGTACCAATCTCTTTAGCTCGATGAGAGGAATCGTTTAATATTAACTTTCGAAAGATTCGAAAAAATTGAAGCAAGTTATTGCCTACTTGGGCTGTACCCGCAGTACCAATATAACTCTAATCCGTTCTAAACACATATTTTAACAATTAATTATCGTTTGTGTTATTAGAAGAATTAGTTTCAAGGGAATTTATCTTTTAAAAAATGAGATTAATCTTTAAAGGAAAAATGGTTGACATTAGCAAAAAGTGTCGTAAGTATGATATGAATAAAATTAGCTTTAAAATGATATAATTTTAAGTCCTGAAGATCGTGGTTGCTTATAGATTTAAATTATAAGAACATATAATAGAGTAATTTTAAATTTTTAAACTTAAACCCACTTTAGCATAGTGCATGACATTAGCTTTGTTTTTAAATTCTTCAATCTATTTTAAAAAAGATTTTATTAAGAATCTAGTTATTAGCTAATATCATTTTTAATTTTTATTAAATTTCAACCAAAAATTTATATGTATAATAACCGGTTTTAATTATAACACTCAAATCTTTAAATCAACGATTAAATCCCAATAGTTTTAGTTAAATTTTAAAGTATAGGTAATACACCAGTTTTTTATTAGCTAATTTGTTAGCTATGTTTTTATTAGCTCCGGGAGCTAGCTCCGGAGCCGGTGGGGGAGGAGCTACGATTATGAAAACCCCGTAGCTGGAGCCGTGAGTTTGAAATGCCCGGAGCGGGAGCCTTGGTTTTCCAATTCCCCACGGATCCGGCTGTATACCCCTAAAGATGGGTGAAAGAAAAAGAAGTACAAAAGTGGTAGGCATGAGAAAAAATCCCTCATAATCATCCAAATCATCGATAATCCACCCATATCCCGCGTAATCCCATGATCTCTCTTATTTACCTGATATTACTAGATATCCCCTCAATCCGCTTAAATTCCCGGAATACTATAAGTAAATCGCCGGCTTAGGAGATGAGCCAAGATTTTAAAAGTCAGGAGCCTAATCCTCGAATAATTATCCTTAGATCAATAGGTTGAAAATACAGTACAATTATTATAAGCTAACTACCATTTCGGTTGCCTCAACCATGTGGATTTTCAATCTATAATTTGCATTCGCCAATGTGTCAATCTTTTTATTCAATTTCCTAATTGTCAATTCATGCTCAGTATTCTAAATTAATGTTTTAAATATTGGGACTGGAGATATTGAGAGGGAAATTAGGGGAAACTGAGGAAAACCTAATTTAGAAAAGGTATATTTAATTTAAGTGTATTGGGTATTGAGAGGTTAAGATTCAGCATGTTTGAAATTTTTAATAATTTAATTCCAATCCCGTTTTTTCACTATTATTTCTTATAATTTCTGTATCGAAACAAGGAATCTTCGAAGATTGAAAAAAGTTAAAAATATGTAACTAAAGGGAAGATATTTTCAATATCTCTGAAATCGAAATTTCGGAGCTGCTCTGCTTTGTACTATCAATGAAACTAGCAAAAAATTTATCTAAATTTTTAGTTTGAACGGCAAAAGCGGCAAACCAAACTAAAAATTTAAATAAATTATTTGCTATTTTCATTGATAAAAGTAGAGCAGCTCCGAAATTTCGATTTCAGAGATAATGAATTGAGAATAGATTCATTTACAGATATGGTTCATTAAATTATATATTTGAATTTTACCTCTTTCATACTATCTTTAATTTCAACCCCCAGTTGGTTATTTGCTACCATTAAATTAACATTAATTTTCTCATATTTAGATATTAATTTGTCTTTTTCTTCATTCTAAACAAATTATATTATTACTTGTATATTTATACTAGGGTTTGGACAAATTCGTTTAGCTAAACATTATACGGTAAACGGGTTTTTGGTAAAATTAAACGGAACGGTATAAGTCTCGGATAAACGGCATAAAAGTATATGGTCCTCCCAAACGGCGTTTAGCTAACTTTTCAAAAAAAGGTTGAAAAAAACTGGCTTCTTGACATCCAAAATTCTGGCATAAGAATCTTCCAAAAATTTCAAAATTTTAGGTATTTAAGGGATAAATGATATATGTATATGAATTTATCGGATTAATCACTGAATCCTCGACTTTCCTCTTATTCATCCGATATCCATCCTGATATCCTTATTTGGGTGTAAAATCGAAGGATCAAAAGGTTATCTTAATCTGATAACTCCTAACCCTCGAAAAAATTCTCGGCTCGGTCCCGGTTAACCGTAAATTTTCGGTTCGGTTCCGAATATCCAAAATTTTTGGATCGGTTTTTTGATCATTTCCGGATATCCAATGATTTTCCAAAAACCGAAAATCCTAGGAATGAGAAAAGAAGCGATTTACTGATTTTTTTGAGTTATGAATTATTTTAAAGAATTTTTAAAAATAAACTGTAAACGGACGTTTAAAGGGGTCTTCAAAAATGAACGAAACAGTATACAGTTCTCAGATAAACGGTATAACCGTTATACGGTTTTTTCAAAATTAAACGATTTTGTCCAACCCTAATTTATAGTACTATAAAATTTTATAGTATGTACTATAAAACTTTTACTATAAAACTTTTAAGTATAAGTA